AAAGGGCCCGATGGCGGAGGGTTTTCGATACTGGATTCATCGACCCTCGGAGAGTAAACGTTGCAATGCTCGACCAATATCCGCAGGAAACAGAGGACAATCTCGTCCATCTCCTGAAGGCGCAGCATTACAAGACGTTCATACTGTTGCCGTACAACACAGAGTTAGTTTAATTTTACTGTCTTCCTACATACCAAATTTCATTCCCGTACGAACTTGCTAAGTGTTTCATATGTAATGCATCCCACGCACATTGCAGATTCCACTGGGTGCTTTTACTCTTCGACCTGTCGGCCTGCACCGTCAACGTATATGACTCAATGGATAAAAAAGAGTCTACGTTTGACAAGGTTTTCGAACTTATAGACAGGTACTGGCATAAGTTTCTCTGTTAATTAAGAAATTCTTGTTATGTTAATTATTTCTACTACGAATCATATCTTTAAACTACATGTAGGGCTTGGTTTCGGTTCCGTCATTTGGTCCGCGGCAACTGGAGAGAAAGACTTAGGCGGAGGTTCAAATTTCCTGTGAGTACACATGCTCTACATTTATATTTCTCCGATTCAAATTAATACATACAACTGTATATTAATTAGATCTCACGCCGTTAATTTGTCATTTATTTGTAGTGCGCAAAGCAAAAGCAGGGAACTAACTTGTGCGGCTACTACGTGTGTGAGTATTGCCACTGCCTTGCAGACCAAATCATCACCACAAGAGAGCTCGATGTACGTACAAATAAATTCAAAATTTTATTACGTAACGATTTCTTGTTTAATTACTAATCAATTTCATACATTCATATAGTTTATTCGCATGAGGGATAACCTGACCACACACAAGGAATTTATCGCAGCGGTTCAAGAACAACTCATGGGATTCATCAACGAAGAAATCCTTGATCCCAAGGGTGAATTCTACTACGACGGAAACACAATTCACCGGTCCTTAGCTTCTGAGCTAGCAGCGACTACTACTACGTCGAAATCGTAGCTAGCTAGGACATATAATGGATTGTAATTAATACATGACTACATATGTTTCTATATGCATGTGTACACATTTTCTATAATGTAAATATATTTTGGTCATATATATATCTATATACATATGCATTTGCATAACATATATATGTATAAATACATATATATTATGCATGTATATACATATGTACTGAACCATATATACATATAATATAATATAATATATATATATATACATATATATATGTATGCATATATATGTATTGAAACATATATATGCATGGTTTATATTTATATATATATATATATATATATATATATATATATATATATATATATATATATATATATATATATAAACCATGCAGCAACAGGGACATGCAAAAAAAAAAAAAAGGTCAGCTCGATCTTTAGTCCCGGTTGGTAAGATCGATCTTTACTCCCGGTTATTTCACCCGGGACTAAAGATAGCGATCTTTAGTCCCGGATTGGTACTCCCGGTTTGGAAACTGGGACTAAAGGGGGTTACGAACCGGGACTACAAAGGGTTTCTCCACCAGTGCCTGGTCCAAGTTAAAGGATTGGTAGTATATTTTGACTCTTTGGGGAGCTATGAAAATTTGGGCCAGAAAATTCTAACGAAAATGCTGCAAGATAGAGTAAACAGTAAACTAGCCCCACCTTATCTGATGTGTACGTATAGCTTAAAAGTGGGAAAGTAGCTAGGCTCCGCTGCAAGAGAGGCAAATTAGCTCGATTGCACGCATACGCGTTAGATATTACTCCCTTCGTATTCGTATTTTAATGTATGACGCCGTTGACTTTTTAATTAACGTTTAATCATTCTTCTTATTTAAAATATTTTTGCAAATACAAAAAATACTTATGTCATGCTTAAAGAACATTTGATGATAAATCAAGTCATAATAAAATAAATAATAACTACATAATTTTTTTAATAAAACGAAATATCAAATATTTGTTAAAAAGTCAATGCGTCATACATTAAAATACGGAGGGAGTAGTAATTATGAATATATATTACGACAAATCAGCGTCCAAAGCGTGACGGTGAAGACTTTTCAAAATAAAATATACCACCTATATAAAAAAAATGCTATGTAGGTAATATAAATTAAGTACAGCTGGTAGCATTAATCTATGCACCAAAAGATTAAGTAACACTAATACGACCATGCAGAGTTGACGTGCTAATTAATAGTTTTATTGCCATGCAGTTCACATGCTGACAAGAACATTAGACATCATACCTATTGTCATTTCTTGCAATTGATGCGGAAAATCTCAGAGATAATAATCTTCCATGAACTAGGGATAAATTTTAAAACTATTGCGGGTATATGGACTAATTAAGAGGGGTCATCAATCGTGTGTTATTATGTCAGGACACACATAGCAAGTACTACTCCATCCTTTTTTTAATATATAATACTGTTGATTTTTTATACGTTTTTTCATTCGTTTTATTAAAAATATAATTATCATTTATTTTATTATAACTTGATTTATCATCAAATATTTTTTAAGTATAATTAAATATTTTTATAATTGTAAAATAATTTGAATAGGATGAATGATGAAACATTTGTCACAAAATCAATGATGTCATGCATGATCATATATTCTGTGGAGGAGCCTAGCTTGGCCCAGCCTCCCAACAACCTTCCTGTTTGCATTTATATACTCCCTCCTTTTAAGGACTGTAGTTTTAGTCTAGAAATTTGTCAAAAAAAAAACAACATTTTTTTCATTAATGAAAGGTATAGTACTGTTTTAATCCGTTATTGACTAGCAAATACGTACGTCATGCATGATCATATATTCTGTGGAGGAGCCTAGCTTGGCCCAGCCTCCCAACAACCTTCCTGTTTGCATTTATATACTCCCTCCTTTTAAGGACTGTAGTTTTAGTCTAGAAATTTGTCAAAAAAAAACAACAACATTTTTTTCATTAATGAAAGGCATAGTACTGTTTTAATCCGTTATTGACTAGCTGAAACTGTAATTTTTAAGGGAGGGAAGGAGTATGATCTGTTTTAAGAACACTTATATGAGATTTTGAAGGATAATAATATCCCTTCCCGGTGTACAATGTATATATAGGGTCGGGTTGTCTCTCTTCCACTGTCCAAAAGCTAGCTTGCTGGAGTACGTATACTTACTAAATAATTTGTCAATGCAAACACTTGTGAATATATTTGCAAGACTGACTTAGCTCGGTCAATCAAGTCTTTCTTTAATCTGTGATAATTAATTGGTGGTTGTTAGGATGTTCGTCTCTCATTTTGGCTTTACGTTTACACGCATCTAGCTTCTCCCGCTAATTGTATACGTCCGTCCACATGCATATGCAAGATAGAACAGATATATAGGTTATCCAATATTTATCTTTGTGTTGACTTTAGTTTTGGATATTAGTTCAAGTAATTAGGTTGTGTTCAGAGGTGAGATTGATTGAGAACTCATCTCCCGCGCACGTAAAACGAAGCGACACATTTTCTTATGATTAATTAAATATTATTTATTTTTTTAAAAAATAATTAATATGATTTTTTAAAGCAACTTTTGTATAGAAAATTTTTGCAAGAAAAACACACCGTTTAGCAGTTTAAAAAACATATACGCGAAAAACGATAAGATGAGTTGGGAAAGTTAGGAAAAGAACTCAGCCTTAATCAAGTTGGCATGCGACTAATAACACCTGATTGTTAGGACTTCAATCATACATGCATGCAAATTAAATTCTCTCCCTGGGCAAAAAAAAAAAAAGGAAATTGTTTTCATCCGTTTCTTGCATGTACCTAATAGTTATAATTTTTTTTAAAAAATTTTGAAAAGATATATTAATATAAAATATATCACTCCACAAATATGTAAGTTCAAATTCAACATTTACAAGTTGTAACAAAATAACAAGTATAACTGCGAATGTATGCTAATTATTTTTAGTTTAATTTATGTTTATTTGTAAATTGTAGAAATTGAATTTAATATTACATATTTGTGTAGTGATATATTTCATATTAATATATGCTTTTTTTTAAAAAAAATTAGTGACTATTTAGGTGACATGGAAGAGAAACAAGAGATGGCAATCTAATATAGTTCCCCCAAAATATATATACTACCATTCACTTTATCAACGCAAATCGAACCCAAAAGTCCAATCGATTCCTAGAATTGGTACAGTTACCGCCTGTTTCTTCAGAACCGCACTGTCTTATGTACTTCCCGGCAGATGGATCATCACTAGCTTTCTTAACCATCCACATTTCGACCTCACGGCAAACATAAGCAATCTGTTTCGCCCTTTCGATCTATCGGTGGTTAATGAATTGAGTAAAACTGCCTCAGTTCTATGTTAATTTTGAGATGCACAGACATCAGTGCCATCTTGACTGGAAAATTTCTCCCAGAATCCTAACAAATCTGAAGTTAAACTGCACTTGCTGTCATGCTCAGATGCCAAGCTACATGTGTCCGAGGTGTGCCCAGAAAACCGATTCAAAAATTCTTTTAGATATAATTCATCTATTTTCATCGTATGTGCACTCCCTCGGTTCAAACCTAGACACCCATATCAATTTAAACTCGGTCCAAAATAGAGTAAAGCAAACGATTGGAACCACATTTGGTTCTAGCTCCACTCCTAACCATGCTCATGTTTGCAGGAGTTAGCTAGCTCTCAAGGGCCCTTCGCCGATGCGTGCGGTGGCGCGGTGACGGACGGGCCGGATGGTCGGAGACGGCCAGGATGCGGCGGCGCTCCGGCGAGGTACAGTACGGAAGCACGGCGTGTGTTCTTTGCTACCAGCGGGGGTTCAAAGTTTTAAACTCCGAACCTCCTGGGACACTACTAGCCGTTGGATCAGGTGCGTGCGGTTCAGATTGAGTGGATCTCCTTCGCGAAACGACCTCGGTTTCAGAAACAAATGAGGCCCAGCCCATTTAGGGGTTGCCTTAATAGAGCCCACCACGGCCCAAGCAGCCTTCTCTGTTTCTCCTCTCGAACGAATCGGACCACCCTCTTCACCGCCGTCGAGCACGGCACCGCCGCTTTGCCGGCGGCGGCGGCGGCGGAGATGAATGTTCAAGCAGGAAGGATGCAATGTAGACGTTTGCTGCTGGCCGGCGTTGGCAGGTGAGTAGAGTAGTAGTAGCCTTACGAGCTTCGATTGTTAGATCAATCGCCTGCACTTTGGTAGGAGATCGGAGCGAGAGGGATGACTAACTGCATGTGCCGCGGCGGATTTCAGGGGAAAATTTTGGTTCTTCTCGGCCGGGTGAATCGTGATTTTACTGGGTATCTCGCCTCCGCCGAATGCGTGGGACGATTCACACCCGCGCGTGTACTGTAGGTGTAATTTCCCCCCATTTTTGCAGTTCCAAGTAGAAAATTTTCATTTCAATACTGATTCTGAATACATTTTGGTCGGTTTGATGAAAGATTCGCAGCTACACCTTGGATTTCTGTATATCATGTTGGAATCTTAGATGCTGATGAAATGATTGGACTGAAACCGTTCTCACCCACCAGCACTACTGATGGTTTGGGTCATCTTATATGTGCCTTCTGATTATGGATTTCTGTCAGGAATTCTGCTGCATTTTTCTTTGCCTAGCATGCAATCAACTAAACAGAGCATTACCCTTGACATGGTGCAATCTTTGACTAGATGGTGCGTTGGTGTATACTAATGCAAATGGATGTGAATTGCTTTAATTGTACACTGGTGATATTTGCCATGTATCCACAGGAGATTTTAATGAGAAGACTAAGGAAAATTTTGTACAACAGAAATGCTTCCGGAAGATATAGTTGCAACAAGCTTCAGTGAAGATCATTCCATTGCTCGTGTCTGAAAACTGGATTATTATGGTGTCCTGCTATGGCCTGTTCGACCTCGCCTATGTTTCTTGCACTTCCATGGAGCTCGAGCTCTTTCAGCTGCTGAAGGTGCTGTACTCCAGACAGAGAGTCAATGGCGGCGATAGACAATATCACTCTCTCAAGCCTTGGAGCTGCTCCGTAATCAAAGATAATGTCAAGGAGGTTATTGTCCTGGACAACAAGAGCTACGAGGTTCCGAAACGCTCCACTCCTGAACGATAGACTGCTACCCATGGTTGAATTGCACTGGAGCTTGAGGCACCGCAGGCTGCCAAGCTGTCCCAGGATACCGAGAACATGTTCCGTGAGTGAAGTCTCATGCAGAGTTATCTTGGAAAGTTGGTGGAGGTCACCAATCCAACCAAGCAATGCACTTCTGATGCCACTGATGTTTAGCTTCTGAACAAACTTTGGAGGTGAGAAGGGAAATGACGCGGGTACCATGTCATCCCTTTTGCGAGCATCGTCTTTGGCTAACTTCAGTCGTTCCATCCGGATTGACAAAGAGTGCAGGCTTCTATCCAACATATCGATTTGTCGGAACAAGTAATCCAGATTACAAGCTGCATTACCTTGCAAGAGTACTCCCAATTTTCTGAGTCGTCGTAACTGACAAATGCCCATTAGCCCAGTGAGGCCACTGGAAACCTCAGCATAGCATAGTATCTCCAACTTTCCCATCCTCACAATTTTTTGAGGCATGAGCACAGTGGAAAACGAGCAAGATTCCTTTTCCATGAGATTATTTTTCTTGCTAGGACAATTGGTGCAACCAGCAAGTAGGTGCTTCAGCCCAGGAAGGATAAAATGCTTTCCTGGGAATGCCTTTATCTGGGTTTGCCGGATGTCAAGTGTCTCCAGGTACTGTAGCTTGTCGATCTTCTTGGGCAAGTGGGAAACATCTGTATTCCTGAGGCTCAAATACTTGAGTTGAAATATCTTGCAAACGCTGTTCAGGTGATACTTCTCCAATCCTTTGCAGCCTTCTAGATCAAGTACATTGAGGCGTAATCCTAGTTGAGCAGATTCCTGAATTGATCTAAGTAACATGGATATGCCAGCCAAGGGATCCACTGACTTCGTTGTGAAGCAACACCTTGTCATGCTCCAACAATCGTCGAAATGAGAAGCACGAAGTTTGATCCGCGAGACCTGCTGCAGTCTTTCTCCATTGTGGATGGGAAGACGGTGAGCCAAGTCGACTGGTAGCTTTGTGTACACAAAGTTGTCATCTCTGATGACCCAGGCAATGAAGTCACGGACTAGATTGTGCACTCTGCAGCTGTTTACCTTGCCTGAATTTCCAACATCACCAGGAAGAACAAATCTTTGAGCGAGAAGAGCATCAAAACATCGGTTGGCAACATCAAATGCACTCAGTCCATCTCTTTCAGCTATTAGGCCTTCCGCGATCCATTTTCTGAGCAGGCTCGTTCTCCTGATATTGTGGTCATTGGGGAAAATGGTAAGATACAGCAAGCAGCTCCTGTAATCACAAGGCAAGGCGTTGTAGCAGAATGTGAGCATTTTCTCGGCATTGGACAGCCATGAAGACAGATGCAGAGGGCTGCAGAAGCACAGGCTGTTGCTGAAGTCATGCAGTTCCTGTAGGGTCTTGTTAGGATTCGCATAAAGGAATCGGAGAAGCATCTTCATGCTAAAGATACAGGGGGAACATTTTACTAAAATGCTGCGAAGAACCTCCTCCTTGAGACTAGCTTTGCCATGACCATTGTCACTTATAAAGTTAGCTGCTCTCACGAGGAAGAAATCAACTAAGGAGCGGTTATGCTCCTCCTGGATATACCTTAGATCATATATTCTGTAAGGACAAAATGACTGTGCCACTTCAGGCAAGCTTGTGGTGACAAGTATAGCACTGGGAGCAGAATTACCGCAGTGGAGAGAAGCTTCGATATCTTTCCAGAGCGACTCGGAGCAGACATCATCAAGAACAATAAGGAACCTTTTACCTTCCAGCTGCTCCTGAATCATCAGTGCGATTTGGCTGTTTCCCCATGTTCCCATGTCCTGCAGATTGTTAGCATGAAGCCCTACAATCTGCGCGAGTATGTCCCGGAGTACTTGCTGTGGAGATTGGTTGGAGCCAACCGAGATCCATGCCTTGTGGTCTGCCAACCTTGAGGAATAACCTTTGTACACTTGCTCAGCAAGAGTGGTTTTGCCCATGCCACGGGAGCCGACAATGGGGATGATTCTGAGATCTGATCTGCCATCTCCTTCCACTGTCAGCCAGCTGGTGAGCTCATCAGCAGCCTCCTTGAACAGGCCAGAGTCGTCTTCGGCCAAGATACGCCTCCGAAGATGCTCCTGCTGATCGGCTTCACTGTCACCGGTAAGGAAAGCTTGCTGGCTATGATCGCTGGCCATGCCAGACTGCGGCTCCTGCTCGGTAGCCGTGCCATGGAGAGGATACCTCTGCTGCCTCTGGCTAACCTCCACTACCCGGATCTTGATGTCCTGGATTTGGATAGCCAACCGGTAGCGCGCCGGCAACGTGCTGACGAACCGGGGGAGACGGCGCACGGAGCCCCAGAGGCCACCCGGCGAGCGGTGGCTGGTGGTGCCGAGGCACCGCAAGTACTGGTCGACGCAGTACTGGGAATGGTTGGCGAGGTCCTTGACCTGGTTCATCCACGCCTGGAGCTGGTGGTCCATGCGGCCCCTGCGGGCATGATTGAGGAGGAAGCCGTTCATGCTCTCCATCTCGTCCCGGATGAACTGCACCTCGCGCCTCAGCCCGCCTAGCAGCTGCACTTGGTCGGAGAGGACGTCGGTCAGCCGGCCGACGAGCGACTTCACGGCGGAGTGGGTGGAGCTCAGGCCAAACCCGTCCATATCCGGGATCTCCCTCACTCAGCTCGCTCATCAGACACACACCATGGCCACTACTGGCAGCTAAGTGGGAAGGATGAACTCAACCTGAACAGGTGCAAGTGCAACTGGAGAGGGGGAAAGTATACTACTAGAAATCTGGCATCTATTTAATGAGCCCCAGCTCCATCTCCTTTTAGCATTACCAAGTCAGCAAGCATGTGACCACATGCTAAGCAGAATCACAAGGATCCAGATTTTCTAAGGTACCATTACATTACACCAAACACGGTCAAATCAATTCATGACTTGCAATGTGAATCGTCAACACATTACATATCAACCTCCATTTTGTGATTTCTCCCCACTTTTGGTACCACCAATTTCTCTGTTCGGACTATTTGGTGTCACCTCACCTATAAACTATTACACTGAATTTGGTGGGAACAAGATTTGTAATATAGTAGCGGGGGTAGTTGGTATGTATTTGTCTATTCTGTTTGTTTATGAAATCCTTAATTTAGTCTGCTAGGACCAACAGCCATGTGGATTTTGAACAAGTCAGGAATCGACTTGTTTTGAGTATGAATGATACTTCTGAAAAAAAAAAAAAGACAAGATAACCTAGAATAATACCAGGCATGTATGCATTCTAGCTGGAAAGTAACATTGATTGGTTCTGTCTTTGTTTACATTGTTGTGTACCAGATGCTGCCTCTATTCATCCAAGATGTGTTGTTTATCAAATTTGACTGGAGTCACATGCCTACTGGAATACAAATTCAGCCAGGCTCATGGATGCATGATTAATTGAATTAATCGCAGAGCTGGAGGCTTGGAGCTGAAGGTAGGTCGATCATATGGTCATTGGATAGTAGTCTAATTCAAAAAATTTATGTAATTATCATTTATTTTATTGTGACTTGATTTATCATTAAATGTTCTTTAAGCATGACTTAAATATTTTTATATGTGCACAAAAATTTTGAATAATACAAATGGTCAAATGTTTATCAAAAAAATCAACGGTCACATACATGTCATTGCAGCTTCTTTGTATGCTCCATATAATTTGGTTCATAAAGGTATTCATTCAGTATCAATATCTGGAATGCTTTACAGTGTGCATATTGGAGCGTGTGTTTACTGAGTCACATACTATCAGAATTCAGAAGAAGCGAGCAACTCAGCTAAGTATTTGGGCCATCGCGGTGCATTTTACTGGGCCATGAGCTGCAGTCGGTTTTGGCCCACATAGCCCAACCTCTCACCGGAGAGGGAAGAGAATCAGCCCTAGGTAAAATTCACCCACCTCTTCTTTTTTTTTTTTGGCGATTCCATGTAGAAGAATCACTTCTCAGTATTTTTACAGTGCTTATGTCTGAATACCTTTTGTTCGGTTTGATGAAAAGTCTCGCAGCAATACCTTGGCACTTCTCTGTAACATGTAGGACTCGTACCATTTCCCCCTTTTTATCTTCATCTCACATGTCTGCTGATTCTGAATTTCTGTCAGAAAGCTAGCTGCATTTTTTTTTCGTTGCTAGCTAAAAGAGGCTTGGATTTGGAGGGATGATGCTTCTAGGCCGGTGTTTACTTGTTAAAGGATTATTGACAACAGTGGTAATTATTGGGTGCCAAGTGAGAAACATATCTGTGTACAGAAACAAGGGAGGAAGAGTAAGCTTTAGGCAATAACACCAAGTTTTTCTTGTACAAGGAAGATAAGATAAACACAGGAATTCTTTCAAAAGCCTTACTAATGAATGGTACAGGAAAACCCATGACTGTTGGGAAAGGAGACAAACAAACAAGCATACTAAATATTGGTGCTACAATACAACAAAGCCAACAATCCATGCATGGAAGAGGAAGAAGGGCCCCCTTCAGCATCTTTATTCCATACTAACAGTAGAAGTGCTTCAGAAGTAGTAGGAGCAGCAGCATCAACAAGCAGCTCAAAGTGGGAAAGAAATAGTAATGTCAATCATCCTTGTTTGTCCAGGCACATAATGGATCTAAGCCACGGCAGTTTTTTCAGTTTGCTTCATCCGTAGGCACCAGTCCTTGTGCATGATTAGTTCCCTGCTGCTGGAATGTGCTTCAGACTGGGGTCATTGGGGTGTGCTTTGATGTCACGGAGAATCACCCCAATCTTCTCCAGGTCACTGTCTCCTTCAAGCTCGAGCTCCCTGATGCTTAGGATGTGACCAATCCCAACAAGAGAAACCATTCTCGTGAAACGCCAGACCATCCTCTCAAGCCTAGGAGCTGCACCCTCATCGAAACTGATGTTGACAATGTCTGGGCCCTCAATGAAAAGGAACCTGAGGTTTTTGAATTCCCTTGTAGAGATGGTGAGGTCGCCTCGGATGTATGACCTGTGTCGGAGCCTAAGATAGCACAAGCCCACGAGCTTGCCCAGGACATGGATAGCACTCTCTGTCAGGGAGGTATTATGCAGAGTAACCTTAGTAAGTTGGTGGAGATGTTCAATCCAGGGAGGCAATCCACTTTTGATGCCACAGATGGTCAGGCTCTCAAGAAGCCTCGGGTATGTGCTGTACATCATGCTCATGTCAAAGCCATTGCTTCCATCAGCAGCAGAAGGTGATCTAATCTGGACTGACAAAGATCGTAGGCATTTGTTCAATTTGCCAATTACATGAAGCAAACTGTCAAAACCATCTTTATCTGTGTCATGGATGACAACACCTAACTTCCTCAGCTTCAGTAGCTGGCCAACAGCAATCAACTGCATTCCACCATGTGAAACTTTGACATGGGACAATATCTCCATGTTTTTCATCCTCCCGATTTGGTGAGGAATGTGGATGGCAGAGAATGATTCCTGCTGCCTGAAAATGTCTTCACTTGGATAGACAGTATGGCCTGAGAACAAATGCTTGAGCATAGGGAGCACTAAAGATTTCCTGGGGAAGACACTGATCTTCGTCTGTCGGATGTCAAGTGTTTCCAAGTAGATCAGATTCTCTATTTCCTTGGGCAGTCTGGTGACATCTGTATCCCGTAGGCTCAAATACTTGAGCAAATATATGCCACATATGTTCTTCAGGTGGCGTCTCTTCAAACCTTTGCAGCCATCCAAATCTAGCACTTTAAGCAGCCCAAGCCGAGATGATGAATGCAAGGACTTGAGAAAGGAAAGAATACTATTGATTGGTTCAGATGGAGACATGTGCAACTTCGTGCTGAAGCGGATTGAAAGATGACGGGCCAACTCTGGTGGCGCCAAAACTGTGTCCACAGAAGTAATGTTGCTTCCTCTGGCTACCAGATCAGTAAGAGCATCGTGAACCAAGTCAGGTACTATGCAGGTCCTGAACTTGCCTGAAGCATCCATGTCGCGTGGACAGAACAGTGATCAGCTTGTTTTAGTGCACTCCTCTCTTGCTCATCAGTGATGAGGCCTTCAACAATCCATCGTCTTACTAAGCTGGTCCTCCTGATGCTGCAACCAGGTGGGAAAATAGACAGATACAGCATGCAGCTCCGGTACTTATCAGGCAAATAATTGTAGCATAAGTATACCATATTCTTAGGCCAATAATCATGCAGCGATGACGTATGCTGCAGTGCATCACGCAGTCGTAACGTAGCATATCTCCCATAATACAGGTACCGAAGGAGCATCTTCATAAAAAAGGTTTCAGGTTCAAGATGGATCAGCATGCACGGTAGGATTTTCCTTAGCTGCTTTTCATTTTCATGTTTAAGCAGAGCTATAGCTTTACTAAGGAAGAAATCGAGAACATAACCGGGGCTATCTGGGTTGAAGATTTTATACGCAGAGAAAGACTCGGCCACTTTATCATCATCTGTGGTGATTATGATGGCACTACCAGCAGAACAATCATCTGGGAAGGCAAGCTTTATATGACTCCAGATTGATTCATCACGGACATCGTGAAGAACAATGAGGAAGATTTTACCTCGCAAATAGCAGCGCAGCTTTTCCACCAGCTGCTCCTCGTTCCAGCCAATCATCTCACTCCTGAACTTGTTCAGAGGGAGAACAAGTTGACATAGTATATCTTTGAGAATCTGAAGATGAGATTGACAATCACGGACAGTGATCCAAGCCTTGCAGTCAAACAGGCTGGTGACAGAGGAGTGCTGGTAGACTCTCTCAGCAATAATCGCACTTGTATCCACGCAGATTCCGACCACAGGTATGATTCTAAGCCCTGCAGGTTGATCCTCCATGAGCCACCTGACAAGTTCGTTCACAGTGTTCTTCAGGTCGGCCGGTGGTTCAGCAGAAGCCAAATAACGCCTCCAAGCAGCTTCATCTTCCTGTTCACCGCCGTTGTCCTGCTCAGGTGGACGGTAGCTGTTGAGGTTGGCACAAATGTCATACGCCTTCCGCCGGTGGCTCACCTCGCCCAGCCGGACCTTGATGTCTTGGATCTGCACGGCCAGCCTGTGGCGTTCGGGGAGGCTCCGGACAAGCCGGGACACCCGGCGGAGGCGGCCGAGGAGGAGGCTCTTGGAGGATGGCCCAGCTGCGATGCACTGCGCGTACTGCTCGACGCAGTCCTGGCAGTCGCGGGCGAGCTCCATCGCCTGCCTGATCCATGGCGTGCATTGGTTGTGGTAGTGGTGGTCGAGGGTGCCGGCCTGCTGGTGCAGGAGGAGCAGGAGGAAGGCGTCCATCATCTCCATCTCGTCCTTGATGAACTGCATGTCGCGGCGGACGCGGCCAAGCAGCTGTGCCTCGTTGACGAGCATGGTGCTGATGCGGCCCAGCAGCGACCTCACGGCGCCCTTGGCCGAGCTGACCACGAGCTCCGCCATTGCAGGCGCCTGGTGGCCACAAAGCTTGATTTGCTGGTTGGTTTTCAGACTCTCAGTGCGTGGTGATCATTCCAAGCAAGCTAAGGGAGTGAAGCTAAGTAGGAGTGACTAGCTAGCTACCTGCATGTGGAGTGGCTTGCATTCGTCGTATGGCTGCATGGAACAGCTGACCCATCTTCCGTTGACCATTATTGTGGATTAGTTTTAACATGGAACGCGTGGTTGACTTTCTCCAAATATTACTACGCGTATTCGTGTCGTCCTAGGTAGCTTGATACTCTTATATTTATTTTATTACCAATCTACGCTGCCTCATTCATCAGAAGTGCACTGAATCTGTAATATCTAAGCTGTTGTGTTGATTTTTTTTCTTTGACACAGAAGGGAGAGATGCTGTAGCCTCTACATTAATGGTGAGTCAAGAGGATTCAGTTGTGTTGATCAACCTGTTCAAATATTCTGTAGCACCACATCTTGATGAGCTGTTAAAAATATTCTGAAGCTCTGAATCTTGATCGAACTGATCTTCCACTATGCTTCATGCCAGGGTGATTTCTATTTACTTCTTGTCTATCATAACAGATCAGCAAGTCTAGTGCTGGAACTCATCATGTTATCCCTACACATTCTTTAATCTTGTTCTTGTTGAAGTGTAAGCCTGGAATTCAAGAAGCAAATATGTAACTGTCCAGAGAATTTTTGTCTTGTCTCGTTTGCTGAGTCTCATTGGTATTAACAGTCACCTGCTGCTGCGCATTCAGTGAAACACTCCATTTTGATCATCTGATGATCCTGTTGTCCTCTGTTCAGTTGTTGTCAACTTATAATAAACTCAGCAGCAAAGACATGCATATTTTGTAGTTTTATTTTTGTTAATTAGAGTGGAAATCTGGAATTTAAGAAGCAAAGATATAACTGTCCAGAGAATATATGTTGTCTTTGTCTCGTTTGCTGAATTTCATTGGTATTGACAGTCACCTGCTGTTGCACTGAAGCACTCCGTTTTGGTCATATGATCTTGTTGTTCTCTGTCTATGACAAACATTCAGATACTCTAGTGCTGAAACTGTGCATATTATTACCAGTTTATCACCAAGCAAATTAAGCACCAACAGGACGGACTGCTTATTAGTATACTTCATAACTTATAACTAAGGAGTACTCCCTCTTTTAAAGAAAAATCAAACTCGATAACTTTTAACTGATAATCATATATACTAAGTATTATACGGGTTATATCACTATATTAATATTTCAAAGTACTTTTATGTTATAGTAATTTAATATTTGTTGAAAACATAACATAAAATAAAATAATGGTTAAAGTATGTCATTAAAGGCCGTGCTAGAAAAATATAGACCTTATAATTTTATAATTTGAGACAGAGGAAGTGCTTACTGTTTTGCTTACTTTTCCTTTTGTTTGGTTCTTGTGGCAGCTTCCTGGAGTTAGTAGAGTTTAATATAAGTTGACAAAGACAAATTGCTGGTGAGTTACGTTCCATCAGTTGCAGAAATTAACAGAAATAGACAGTCACATCACATGGCCGCCATGTTCCAGGCTTAATTAATTCCAGCCATTGCTCACCGCTTGCTTGCTTCAGCCAGACACGCACGCATCGCCGTCGCCGGCGCGGCTATCATTCTGCACGGGCACACGCATCAATCATCATACGAGTACATGCTTAATTTGTTGATTGATAATTACTCACTCTGTCTTTAAAAAAAAAAACGTAGGTTTGCGTGCTAACATTTTACTGTCCGTCTTATATGAAAATTTTTTATAATTAGTATTTTCATTGTTGTTAGATGATAAAATATGATTAATACTTTATGTGTGACTTATCTTTTTAATTTTTTTCATAATTTTTTTAAATAAGACGAACGGTCAAACGTTGGACACGGAAATCAGGGTTTGTCTTTTTTTTTTGGACGGAGGGAGTATAAGCGTAGGTAGGATCAGACGGGCATCAAGCAATTCAACAGACGGCGTAGGGGGTTCGGAGTTTCATACTCCGGACCTCGGCTCTCGGATGTGGGCACCCCAGATTAAGTGGGCCAAGCTATTCATTTGGGCCGTCGCGTCGCAATTTTTACTGGGCCAGTATAGCTGCCTGCGTGTTTCGGTTTGGGCCCCACATCCTTCAGGAAACGCATCGCCGTGCCAACTGCCGAACACCTCGCCGTCGTCGTGCCTGCCTAGCGCTGGTCCAATAACGACGTACGAGTCCAATAACGAGATCTAGAGCAGTGCGCGGAGCCATCGATATCGTGAAGCCCAAATAAATACCAGTATTTTTCCAACATCAAAAGATATTTGTAATGGAGATGTTAGTGGTGGAGCCCGGGTGGCCACCCGACTTGCATGGGAGCTAGCTCCAGGGGGGCTAATGGGCGATCGCCCAGCGATCGGATCCGGCCCCCCTCCCCCTATGCTCCTCCCTCTCCTCCCCTTCTCCTCTTTCTACTACAGTAGACCACACAAAATTTTTTAAAAAACAAAAGTTAGAAAAATTTATGTATAGAAATACTATATATAAAAAATTTGAATTCAAATTCAAATTTGAATCGAGTATGTAAACTTTTGACTTATAAACTTTGGGTCTATAAACTTTAGATGTATAGAAATACTATATATAGAAAATATTTGAATTTAAATTCAAATTTGAATCAGGTATATAAACTTTAGATCTATAAATTTAGATCTATAAACTTTAGATGTATAAACTTTAGATGTATAGAAATACTATATATGAAAAATATTTGAATTCAAATTCAAATTTGAATCGGATATTTGAATTCAAATTCAAATTTGAAACGGGTATATAAACTTTTGACTTATAAACTTTAGGTCTATAAACTTTAGGCCTATAAACTTTAGGTGTATAAACTTTAGATGTATAGAAATACTATATATAAAAAAAATATTTAAATTCAAATTCAAATTTGAATCGGATATATAAACTTTTGACTTATAAATTTTGGTATCTAAACTTTAGATGTGTAAACTTTAGGTGTATAAACTTTAGGTGTATAAATTTACTAAAATAGAAAAGTAATGCGGTGCCAAAAAAGGAAACCAGGTGGAGAGGTGGAGGGAGGGAAGGAGGGGGGGGGGTGGAAACTGATCGCTCTGGGCAAGCGAGGGCGATCGCTCGCCCAGTAGCATTTCCTGCTAGCTCCGCCACTAGGAATAAGGACGGGCGGTTTTTTGCGCTGTTGAGTTGGAGTTTTAAACTCCAAACTTCCTTTGGGTATCTGACCGCCATACGTCCTTCTTGTCCTCTCACAAAGAAGAAAAAAAAATGCTCTCTCTCTAGGTCTCGGATGAGTCAGACGGACCCTTAACCATCGGGTATAGGCTTGTCTGGCCGATTGCATTGTGTGACAAAAAACTCTTTTCTTTCTAATATATTGACATGCAAAACAAAGAACCTAGGCCATTGATGACGGGAAAGATGTTCTTTTTTTGTTTTGCATGCCATGGGTGGTGATTGATGGTCCTCAATACTTCATGTCATTCTTGTTTTTTAGTGTGGTTTTGTATGTTCGGTTGTGTGCATCTCAGTTACGTAGAGATCGGAAGTGTTTTCAAAATTATTGTATCACATTAATATAATTAACTGAGTTCAATAAAAACTTTCCATTATCTAAAAAGTTTTGCATGCCATGGATCATGCAGGTCGCTTAGCTTGTTCAAGGGGATTGGACTGACAGATTCGATTCGATTCGTTCGTTCGATCCACAGGGTTATAATATACGTTGCTTTGCAAAAGAAGAAAAGAAAAGTAAATATTCTGACCTCCCGCCTATGCTTTGTTTTCCTTGCTAGCCGGTGCTGTAGCATTTGCATCTGGTTCGATCTGTACACGTATATAAGCTCTACCATCTTGTTCAGCATCCACAAAGGCTAAGCTTTTCACGCTAGTCTATCAGCCACTTTAATTTGGTCTTTTGTTCGATCAATCGATCGATCAATTCCCTCTACTCTATACACAAATATTGCCCAATCTTGATCAGCCACATCTTGATGAGCTGTTAAAAATATTCTGAAGCTCTGAATCTTGATCGAACTGATCTTCCACTATGCTTCATGCCAGGGTGATTTCTATTTACTTCTTGTCTATCATAACAGATCAGCAAGTCTAGTGCTGGAACTCATCATGTTATCCCTACACATTCTTTAATCTTGTTCTTGTTGAAGTGTAAGCCTGGAATTCAAGAAGCAAATATGTAACTGTCCAGAGAATTTTTGTCTTGTCTCGTTTGCTGAGTCTCATTGGTATTAACAGTCACCTGCTGCTGCGCATGCAGTGAAACACTCCATTTTGATCATCTGATGATCCTGTTGTCCTCTGTTCAGTTGTTGTCAACTTATAATAAGCTCAGCAGCAAAGACATGCACATTTTGTAGTTTTATTTTTGTTAATTAGAGTGGAAATCTGGAATTTAAGAAGCAAAGATATATTAGTTATTGTTATATTAGTTTTGTGGAAGTGATATCAATACTGTCGGAAAGATTCCTATACCGTTTACACCCTATATTTTGTGGAAATGCATGTGATTGCCCAATCTTCTCCATGTCGCAGAAACACCAGACCAATCTCTCGATCGAGCCTATATGCCATTGATCGATGCCAGGTCGCTTAGCTTGTTCAAGGGGATTGGACGACTGACAGATTCGATTCGATCGATCCACAGGGTTAATTATAATATACGTTGCTTTGCAAAAGAAGAAAAGAAAAGTAAAATATTCTGACCTGTAGCATTTGCATCTGGTTCGATCTGTACACGTATATAAGCTCTACCATCTTGTTCAGCATCCACAAAGGCTAAGCCTTAATTTGCACGCTACAGTCTATCAACCACTTTAATTTGGTCTTTTGTTCGATCAATTCCCTCTACTCTATACACAAATATTGCCCAAATATTCACCAGCTAGTAGTACAATAGAAGAAAGATCAAGATAGAGAGATACTAGTTTTGCTTACTTTTCCTTTTTGTTTGGTTCTTGTGGCAGCTTCCTGGAGTTAGTAAAGTTTAATATAAGTTGACAAAGACACAAATTGCTGGTGAGTTCCATGAGTTGCAGAAACAGAAATTGACAGTCACATCACATGGCCGCCATGTTGCACATGCACGCATCAATCATCATACGAGTATATGCTTTGTTGATTGATAAGCGTAGGTAGGAATAGGATCAGCCGGGCATCAAGCAACAGACGGCGTAGGGGGTTCTTCGGAGTTTCAGGGCCCCTTTGAATCGCAGGGTACAAAAAAAATGGAGGAATAGAAAAAACACAGGATTCTGACAGGAATTGAAGTGAAAAACAGAGGATTGCAAAACACAGGAAAAACACAGGAATGGTCGTTTGATTGGAGCGCAGGAAAAACACAGGAATCGGATAAGAGAGATAGACTCAAAGGAAATTTTCCAAGAGGTTGGAGCTCTTGCTAAATTTCCTCCAAAATCCACATGCAATGTGCCATTCCATAGGAATTTCATAGGATTTGGAGAGCTTCAATTCTTTGAATCAAAGGGCCAAACAGAATAATTTCCTATAGGATTTGAATCCTATGAAATTCCTACATGAATCCTTTAATTCAAAGGGGCCCTCATACTCCGGACCTCGGCCCTCAGATGTGGGCGCCCCAGATTAAGTGGGCCAATCTATTCATTTGGGCCGTCGCGTCGCAATTTTTACTGGGCCAGTATAGCTGCCTGCGTGTTTCGGTTTCGGCCCCACGTCCTCCACGAAACGCATCGCCGTGCTGACTGCCGAACACCTCGCCGTCGTCGGGTCACCACCGTGGGTCCAGCGGCGGGGACCAGCGCTAGGCATGCACGACGAGTCCAATAACGAGATCTAGAGCAGGAATATCGTGAAGCACGAATGAATACTACTCCCTCCGTTTCACAATGTAAGTCATTCTAGCATTTTCCACATTCATATTGATGTTAATGAATCTAGACATATGTCTTGTCTAGATTCATTAACATCAATATGAATGTGGGAAATGATAGAATGACTTACATTGTGAAACGGAGGAGGTAGTATTTTCCGGTATTGACCATTGTGCTGTGCTTTGCTGCGGAGCTCAGCGACCAACCAGCGCTAGGAACGGGCACTAGTAGAGCTAACAATATCGTGAAGCCCAAATAAATACCAGTATTTTTCGAACATCAAAAGATATTTGCAATGGAGATGTTAGTGGTGGAGCCCGGTGGCCACCCGACTTGCATGGGAGCTAGCTCCGCCACTAGGAATAAGGACGGGCGGTTTTTTGCGCGGTTGGGTTGGAGTTTTAAACTCCAAACTCCCTTTGGGTATCTGACCGCCGTACGTCCTTCTTGCCCTCTCACAAACATGAAAAAAAAAGCTCTCTCTCTAGGTCTCGCTGTCTCGGATGAGTCGTCGACCGCCGCCGCCACCGCCTTAATACCATTTTTTCATATGGATGAAAGAAAGCAATGGATGCCACACAAGTTTATTCAGTTTTGGGCCATGATTGCTTTCACACGTACTGCTCGAATGTGTTGCAGAAAAGGGCCATTGGGATGTGCCTTAATTAGGGAAATGGTCGGGAAATTTTTATATTTGTGAATTTAATTATTTTGTGTTAACTTAAATGCGACGCTGACATAAATTAGTAAAACTTATTTTTTATCAAAGGTAATAGTCGGTAAAAACGTTATTATTATACTACCTCCGTCCCATAATAATTGTATTTCTACCCTTCAAATTTTGTCCCAAAAAGATTGTATTTCTGATAAGATGGGATACAACAAATAGAACTAGACATTTTGACGCACGTTGTGCGCCCTATCAATATTAAATCCAAATGTTTCAATTCATTTCAATTGAAATCGTGAATCAAAAAAATGTATAAAAAATTATTACAAAATTCTCCGGTAGTGAATGAAATTAGACTTATCACATTACTGTAATACCAAGCTGTGCATAGACACAATGTCAGCGGCTTAAAATCAAACATGTAGTTAATAAAAATTGATCATCAATTTCTTGTAACAAGAAGCACCATGGATATGATCTAGTTGTTATTACAAATAACACTGATTCTCAATGTCACTTAGGACAACCGCTTCATTATAATAGTAAGCAATAACATGATACAAATTTTGGTGCAAAATATATAACATGAATGATTCTCAGCAATGCTTTGCTAATTACACTAATTTTGATGCTCAAGTCAATCCAATGAATCTTTAGCAGGTTGAATTTGAAGTCAAAAGCATAGATATATGCCTCATTGGTCGCATAGATGAAATACTTTCCCCAGTTGAAATACAAATTTGATGTCATGAAAGTGGAACTTATTCTTGATCATATACTGCAAGAGGCCTAGTTTGTAACTTGATGTAGCTTCGGTTCGAATCTAGAATCTTTAAAACAAAGGCATCATTGTTGACCTGGCAACTACATGTTAAACAGGTATGTATTTCCAACATAATCATAATGTTAATTAATAAGAGATGAAAGTTAGAAATGGTAGTAGTCCAACATAATCATAGTGTTAATTAAATTAGTAAGAAATGAAAGTTAGAAATGGTAGGAGCTAGTTGGGCCAAAATTTGAAAATAAGAAAATAGGTAATTTTGGTAGGGTAGAGATAGTAAGAACATATTTAGCTTGTTAAATTAGCAAAATTTGGGAACAAAAAAAATTTGTAGGGTTGCAAGCGGCGATGAAGTGAACAATCCCTAAGGCTCCTACAATCGCAATCATGCCTGCATTACTCAGGGAACACCACTACCAGCCAAACAAGAGGTAGCTAGCTATCGACTTCTTTTATTGTGGTTAGGACCTTTGGCAAGTAAAATAAACAACTATAGTAAGAGAAATTATGTTTTCTTTTTTTAATGGATTCAGGTTATTAGAGGAAGAGAGAAAAACATCAGCTACCTGCCAGTCAAGAAAAACTTGCATCTCCCGCTGCTTTTACTTTCATTGCTATCAGCTGCTTGACCATGCATAAAGAATCTGCAGCCTTTCACATAACAATAAGATCAATTAGTTTGCAGCCAAGCACTTTCCACCCAATTTGTAAAAAAGGGTGACGGTACAGTTAATAAGAAATTCCAGGTTATGTTCTAGAAGTAAACCAAATCAAGTATCAACAGTTGCAAATATACGTTATGGGTTGTAATCTGCATTCTAAGCCTGCAGGGAAATATGTTTCAGGCCAAGACTACAGTCTAGACTAATTGTCACTTTGTCAGCACAATGTTCCTGAGGCATCAAAGAAAGCAGAGAGCACAAGTCAGACCATTGGCTAAATGATTCTACGGAGCAGGTTAGATGCAGCAAGGCAAAAATGTGATATAAGTTCTAAGGTCCACAAAATGCTTGCCAAATCAGTTCTTGTGAACAATGACATACAATTTTCTGCTTGGCTGTTGTATACATGCTTATCAGGTCATTACTTCGTTACTGCGTCATCTGGAGAAAGAACCAAATTTCTCCTAGCCATCATAATCAGTTATGTGAAACATATTATTCGAAATTTGGAAACACATTATGATATATGAAGGCTGCACGGTTGCCCTGATTTATATTGCAAGAGTTGCAATGCCAGCTTCATTTTTTTTCTCATTGTAGAAGAAGATGATCAGATAGTATTAGAACAGCAACCAACACATCTTCCCCATTTTTGACAGTTCCAATTGTGCAACCAAAAAACATTAGCATAGATAATAGGAGTTCACATAAGATAAATAGTAGATTATTAGTACTTGTTTGTTGATTAAATGTTGCAGCACACAACACAGCAGTGGTAGGCTGCCAACCTCTGCTCCAGCAACACAAGGCCAAGCCCTGTAGCTTGCACTGACTGACATTTTTTACCAAATCGATTGCTCCATTGTAGCTACAAAGCATAAGAGAATCATAAGAGGTAAGGGAAAGGGAAGAAAGTAGACCTGGCATTTTTTAACCAAAGACCAGCAGACCGGCGTCAAAGCACAAGCGGATCTAAGCAAGATCCACTGGCTATGCAGTGCTGTTGAGAATGCCATTAAGAACGAACAAGTTCCAGGCAGATTCACTCCGCCGCTGTGACCGCCAGCTATCTCCTCCTTGATTTGCAACAAAGCATCAAAACCTAATAGCTCAATCCCAAGCCCATGCCACCAACTCACGCGCTGAAAAGACAAAAAAAATCGTCACCTCTCTTGGCCGCCAACGCATCCTCGCACGAACCGGCGCTCTTTGCGGGCGCGGGCGCCGCTGCTTGGCGGCGGAGGAGGAAGGGGACAGGGAGGAGTACTTGGAGGCGGCAGTGGTGGTGCTTCGGTGAGTCTCCACCATGGTGCTGCAGCGACGGAGTGGCAGGGTCGAGAGGAGGAGATGACGGAGAGCAGCGGAGGGCGCGCGGGAGAGGTTGTCGCCGGCAGGGAAAATCGAGCGAGGCCCGGTCGCCGCCTGGAGAGGGGGAGAAAGCGAGAGAGGGGGAGGGGCAGCGAGTGGGCTGGCGGCTAGGGTTTGGGATATAGGTGTCCAAACGGGCGGCACGGCCCGGCCCGGCACGGGCACGGGTCCGGCACGGCCCGTTTCGGCACGGCCCGTTAGGCACGGCTGATGAAACGGGCCGTGCCGTGCCGGCCCACGTGCCGAGCCGCCGGCCCAAGCACGGCCCGTGGATGGCCGGGCCGTGCCCGTGCCGGCACGGCACGCCTGCGGCCCACGGGCCGTTCGGGGCACGGCGGCCCGTGAAGGCAGGCCGGCAGCTGAGGCCCAGTGCACAGTGTTTTTTTTAAAAAAAAAAGCAAAGGAAATGTATAAGGAAAAAAAATTAAAAATGGAAATAAAATGTTTAAAAAAAAGTAATGATTTACTAATGTTAAAAAATGAAAAAATGGTATTTAAAAAATGGAAATAAAAGTTTTTTAAAAAAGTAATGATTTGCTAATGTTAAAAAAAAGAAAAAATGGTATTTTTTTGTTGTGTTGAAAAATTTAAAAATATAGATTGTGATTCATTATTTTGAAATAATTTAAAGATAAATCTACACTTGCGAAAATATTGCAAAAGAATTTGTTAAAAATAGTAATGACTTTTATTGATGTTTATATCATTACAGGATACAATGATACATGCTGCCTCGTTAAAAACTTTGTCATGTAAAAACTCATAGGGGAAAATGAGAAAACCATGACAAAGAAAAGAGTACAGCTCAAAGGTCAGAACTACTTCTAACAAAATTCTACTGGGGTTGGTCTGGATCCAGGTAGAGTTGCTCGAACTGGGCGGCCAATTCTTGGTTGTCCGCAGTGTATTGGGCATGTTGTCGAGCAAGCTCTCAGTCTTTAACGCTTAGTAGCATTTCGACGTGGTCGCTGCGCAGAGTCGTCCTCCGGTCTTCGATGATTCGGCCGCATAGACTGAAGGCCGATTCGGAGGACACCGTCGACACGGGCACCGTCAACACATCCCGTGCTAGTTTTGAAAGCACAGGATATGTTATCTTGTGGTCATTCCACCACCCGAGGACGTTGAAATCTTGTGCTTCGTGGTGGATGGCGTCGCTGTCCAAATAACCGGACAACTCTTCGGCCACAACATGCGAAGAGGCGTCTCCACTTGTAGCCGACGAACTGCCACCACCTTGGATTGAAGACGATCCACCCCAAATCCTACCCCACTGTATCTTCTTCTTACCTGTAGTGGGGATAGGAGGGGGTCTCTGCTGGCGAACTTCCTGAAACTTTACTTCATATCTTCCAAAAACCTCATATAATTTACGTCTAACCTCAGTATAAAAAGAACTATAATCTACACCTATAGTATCTCCAACAAGTGATAAAATAGCAGACAATCCCCTTAATTTACACCTAGGATCTAAAACAAAAGCAAAAGCATACAACATAGGTATATTTTTCCAATATTTCAAATATTTTTGTTTCATGTGAAAGACAGGTTTAGTTAGAACGTCATCATTTTCGTATTCTTTAAATAAATTAGCAATTTCAAGAAGGTTGTGCAAAATTATATTAGCAGTTGGATAATAAACTTGTGACAAAGGTAGAGTACAATCATAAAAAGTTTCTAGAAATTGGTGAAATTTTTGGACAATTGCCCAAACATGCTCGTTCAGTACTGAAGACCCGTCACTGTTTCTTGGGCCACCACGTGACTGAACAAAATCAGAAAGTAAACTACTATAAGGTAAAACAACTTTTAACATTAAATACGTTGCATTCCACCGATGCTCTGCATCGGTGGCAAACTTACGAGCTTTCACACCGGCCGCATTGCAAAACCTCTTCCATGCAGCAATCCGCGGGTTAGAAGCAGTTAACCACGCGATTGCTTGACGAACAGCATCGATGTGGTCACCTACCCTCTTCATGCCAGTCTTAACAATCAAATTAATTATATGACATGCACAACGCTGATGGAGTAGAAAAGATTGAGCATACACACAAAATAAAGGTTGCAATATTTCAATAGCCCTAGAATTAGCAGATGCATTATCTAGGGTGACAGCAAATATTTTATCAGCAAGATTAAATTCATTAATTACTTCCCTAATTCTTTCAGCTATGTTTTCTCCTGTATGTGAGACATCTATTAACCTAAGCCCTAAAACTCTCTTTTGTAATTGCCAATCATCATCAACAAAATGAACAACTACGCTAAGATAATCCTCTCTAGCTCTACTACTCCATATATCTGAAGTAACACTAACAGAGAAAGTACATGTACTAAACAGTTCCTTAAGTGCAGTTGCTTCCTTGTGATAAACATTCTCTAAATCTCTAGTTGATGTTTGCCTACTCACAGCTTTAAACCTAGGGTTATGAGATTGCTGAATGTAATGTTCAAAAGCAGGGGACTCCCCAAAGTTCAGGGGTAAATCTTGCCTGGCGATTAACCGGACAAGAGATTCCCGAGCAACCATGGGATCGTACTCCCAACTGCGTACCGTACCGTCTGGGTTTACCATAAGTTGCTGCTGCCGGAGTTGTATTCCTTGCTTCTTGGCACACGACTCCGCATGGCGCTTGAGGTGACCTGTACCACCAGAAGAACAAGCAGATAAAATTTGCCTACATATTCTACAACGGGCTTTCGATACCTCCCTTCCATCGGGGCATGTTTCCTTTATCTCGTCGAAGTTTTGCCACACACCGGAGGTTCTCGATCTCTTCGAGCCGGTGTGTGTCGAAACACTTCCGCTCGCGGTTCCGGAAAATCCTTCCGAAGCTGTCGCCGCCTGAACCGGTACCTCCTCAACGACAGCCGTATGAACCGGTACCTCCTCCACAGATGGTGGAGTTGGAGCCGATCCGGAGGTATCGTCAAACCCCGACATGTAGTTGGGGTCGAAATCACCCAAGGTGAACGACGGCGACTGGTATGGAAAGTTCGGATCCATTCTGAAAATTTAAACCGACATAAACAAATTTTTGAATATTTATTGAATTCACAAACACAATACAAATAATACACAAATTTGAATATTACTTACATCTTTCCAACCGCGAGCTCTTCAAACCTCTGCGATCAAACTGTTGAACTACGAAACTAATTTTGATTTTTGACAAAATTTGAGCAAATTTTGTCAAAATCAAAAAAAATGCACACTTGAGAACAAAGAGAGCACTTAAAACACTTGAGAGCACAAGATGAGGAGTGTGGGATGAGGAGAAATGGCTGGGGTTCATGCCCTATTTATAGGGCGAAATTTGAGATTTTTTGGAATTTTTTCGAAATTTTTATGAATTTTTTAGCCTCCCAACGGTTATTTTCAAATTTGAACGGTCAAATAGCCGTTAGTGCCACGTGGCGCCTTCCCATTCGACCGCCGCTCGCCTTGTCAGTGCGCCGCTGGCCCGCTAACGGGCCGTGCCGTGCCGCGGGCCGTGCCGTGCCGTGCCGCTACAGTAGCTGTGCCGTGCCGTGTCGGCCCGCGGGCTCGGCCAGCGGCCCAAGCACGGCACGGCTACTCGTGCCGTGCCGGCACGGCCCGTTACTGTAGCAGGCCGTGCCGGGCCGTGCCTGCTACAGGTTCGGCCGTGCCCCGGGCCGCCCGTTTGGCCCGGCCCGTTTGGCCACCTCTAGTTTGGGAGAGGGGGAGGGGGATGTTCATTTTTGCAAAATGATCCCTCACTTTACGTTTTTCAGAGCGCAGTCCAATTTTCCGAATTTTGTCTTCTTAGCATAAGATATTTCATATTTTGAAGGTCTTTTGGATAAGACTGCATAACCTAGAAATGTACGATTGGGGACTTGCATCAAATTATCAATAATACTAAGGGTTTTTTTTGAAAAACGACCAGAGTCGATGCGGAGCCACGAGCGCTTGCGAAATCCGGCTGCCTGAGCATTCGGGGGCAACGTGGATATCGCGGCGATCGAACACGCGACTCCAAATCGCTGTGGGAGCTTCAGTTGGGGGCATGTTTTAATTTAACCGATGTATACCCACAACCTTCTTTTTAATTAAGTTTACATATGGAATGTATTGCTCAACCTTCCTTTTAATCAAGTATAAATATGAAATAAGCGTATACAATGTAATTATTAAATAGGGCTATTGTGGTAAATTGTGTTTGTTGTTAAATTGTCTCTAATTTCCTAAGAATGCAATTATTATGGGATGGAGGAAGTATTAGTTATATGGAAATGGTATCAATACTATCGGAAAGATTTCCATACCGTTTTCACCTTGTTTTTATGCGATTGCGCAATCTTCTCCATGTCACATTGGTCGTCAAGCTGGAGCTCCTTGAGGAGAATCCATTACAGTGAAACGCCAGACCAACCTCTCGAGCCTAGGCCATTGAATTTTGATTATAGTGTGGCTCCGCCTACACCCTCTCATTGTTTAGAGTTGTTTTTTTTCCGAAGTAATTTTCTCTTATATTTTTCTTATTTGTACCTTTGTTCCCCTCCTCTCGGTATAGGCTTGTCTGGCCGATTGTATTGTGTGACAAAAACTCTTTTCTTTCTAATATATTGACATGCATGCCATGGGCGGTGATTTAGTCTTTGGATTTATGGTCCTCAATACTCCATGTCATTCTTGTTTTTTAGTGTGGTTTTGTATGTTCGGTTGTGTGCATCTCAGTTACGTAGAGATCGGAAGTATTTTCAAAATTATTGTATCACATTAATATAATTAACTGAGTTCAATAAAAACTTTCCATTATCTAAAAAGTTTTGCATGCCATGGATCATCCAGGTCGCTTAGCTTGTTCAAGGGGATTGGACTGACAGATTCGATTCGTTCGTTCGAAGATGCTACTCATCTAGCCAAAGAATGCCCTTTCACAGCTATGGTATGGAACAAAATTTGCCTTTGGCAAGGACATACTGCCTATACCCTTCAGAGCTCATCTTGCACCTTCAAAAATTGGTGGGAATCATTATGCAAGCTAAGGCCTATAGCTACAAGGAAGCTAATTCTTAAAGACCTTGCAATAACGTGGTGGAATATTTGGCTAGAACGAAACAGAAGAATTTTATGTCACTCTTCACAAGACGAGAACCAGGTGGCCTCCTTAATCAAGGAAAATATAAGCCAAATTAATTTGTCCAGATGTTAAATGCTGTTGTTCTTTAAGTCGCTTGTATCATGAGGTTTTTTGCCTAGTTGGCAAGCCTCTTCGTTCGACCGCTAGACGGTCTTTGCGTTTCTGTTTATGTATTCTGACCTTATATTCCCTCTAATACATTCGGCAAGTCTTTTGCCGCTTTTCGTTTCAAAAAAAAAAAAATTCGTTCGTTCGATCCACAGGGTTATAATATACGTTGCTTTGCAAAAGAAGAAAAGAAAAGTAAATATTCTGACCTCCCGCCTATGCTTTGTTTTCCTTGCTAGCCGGTGCTGTAGCATTTGCATCTGGTTCGATCTGTACACGTGTATAAGCTCTACCATCTTGTTCAGCATCCACAAAGGCTAAGCCTTAATTTGCACGCTACAGTCTATCAACCACTTTAATTTGGTCCCTCTACTCTATATACAAATATTGCCCAAGTATTCACCAGCTAGTAGTACATAGAAGAAAGATCAAGATCAAGATCAAGATCAGCTTGAATTGTTTTTAGCTTTTCCTGCAGCTGTAATTCTCTCTCCTTTCCTTTGCTTGTAACCTCTGTACATCTGTGCTACTTTGTAATTTTTCTCTTCTAATATTAAATTCCGGCAGATCTCCTACCGTCGTTCTCCTCAAAAAAAAGATCAAGATAGAGAGATATATCATAAGATAATTGCATCCTACGACAATGGCGCACCTGACGAACGGCGCGGTGGACTCGCTGCTGGGTGTGTTGTCGAAGGTGGTGAAGGACGAGGCGAAGCTGCTGGGAGGCGTGGAGGGCGACATCCAGTTCATCAGGGACGAGATGGACAGCATGAACGGCTTCCTCCTCCACCTCACCAAGTCCAAGACGCCGCACAACGACCAGCTCCGCGCCTGGATGAAGCAGGTCCGCGACGTCACCTACGTCGCCGACGACTGCATCAGCCTCTACATGCGCGACCTCATCCCGCCGGAGGCCGGCCTCTGGCCGTGGCTCCGCCACATCCCCAAGCGCCTCCGCACGATTCCGGCCCGCCACCGCCTCGCCAACAAGATCCACAAGCTCAAGGACCGCGTGCGCGAGGTCGGCGAGAGGCGCCTGCGCTACGACGTCAAGCTCCCAGAACTACACAATTCGGAGGAGTCGTCGTCGTTGCTGGTCGCCCGAGACAGCAAGGTCGAGGAGAAGAGGGACGAATTCCTACGTGCCATCGACCATGTCCACCATGCTCCTCCTTCACCTTCAGCGATCGAGATGCTCCCTCTTGATCTTGGAAAGGATGCTCTCGAACACCTACATGATATCAAGAAATGCCTCGATGGGGGTCATGTCGCCAGCATGAAGATGCTGCTTCGTGCTCTGTATGCCTATCCCTACGGTACCATAGAAGAATTGAAAGACTTATCCAACAGTCTTAAGATTAAAGGAGCAGATGTGGCCAAATTGGTGATGATTTTCTGCTACAGCAAGCTGCCCACGCATTGCAAGAGCTGCCTGCAGTACCTGGCTGCCATGGGAGAGGAAGATAAAATCAATAGGGCGTGCTTGGTCAGGCGATGGGTCGCCGAGGGCCTCCTGCCCCTCAGGGTCGTCGAACCGCCTCTTACCACCACCATGGAAGAAGCCGGCGAACTCTGCTTCAAGGAGCTCGTCTTTCGAGGCTTTCTTCTTCCTGCTCCTTCTCCTACAGATCATCCTCAAGATGACGATGTAGCTGTTGGTACATGCAGCCTAAATCTCAAGAGCTGTGTCGTTGATAATGCAGTCAAGAAATTCATCCCCGACATCTCCAAGAGCGATAATTTTGTGGTTGACCTGCCTACCCACCTTCAGCTTCAGCTCAAAATCAGACATATGGTTCGATCGACCTTTCCTGCAACTGCGTCAGCAGAAGAGAAACAGCAACCACAGCAGCAGCTGAATCCCATGGATGGGATGGTGAAGCTCCTCAAGGAGTTACCTGAAGAGTATCGGCTGAACGTGATAGATCTAGGGGGCTGCCAGAGATTGGAGAAGAGCCACCTCAAGAGTATCTGCAAGGTGACCTCCCTCAAGTATCTGAGCCTCCGGAACACCGACGTTTCCAGTCTGCCCAAGAAGATGGAGGACTTGTGGCAGCTGGAGACGCTCGATATCCGGGACACCAAAAAGATGCCGGCCACCGCCATGAGGCGCATCTACCTCCTCAACCTGAAGCATCTCCTTGCCGGCAACAACATCAATACCGACGGCGGTGGCGAAGGCAAGAAAAATGAGTCAGGCTCCACCGTGCTGGTACCTCACAGGATCGGGAAGAAGACGGAGACATTGCGCCATGTCCGGATTAAGGACGGCCAAGCCGACCTTGCACGGATTGGGTCTCTAGAGCAGCTGAGGAAGTTGGGAGTCGTCCTCGACGGCAGCCAAGGTAACATCACTCATTTGCTTGAAGCAATCTCCAAGCGGAGAGATACCCTGCGCTCACTGTCAGTCTGGATCACGGAGCCACCGCCACCGCCGGCTGCGGAGCACATGGCCGGCGACGACGTGTTCGTGACTCTTGACCATTCACAAGAAGAAATCCTAGCTCCCAGTAAACTTGAGAGCTTAGACCTCAACCTCAAGTGCTTCTTCAAGGGAGGAAATGGCGGCGACAAGAGAGGCTACAAGCTCCCTACATGGATCAACGAAAAGTTCCAAGCGCTTTCCAAGATCACTCTACGTTACACCCTACTGCGCGACGACGGTCTGCGGATCCTCGGCAAGCTGAAGAGCTTGCGCTGCCTCAGGCTGCTTCGCAAATCATACATCGAAAGCGAGGTCACCCTCGAGGAGGGGGAGTTCGGGGAGCTGAGGCTCCTCCTGCTTGATCATGTCTCTGATAAGACGGCCTTGTTGATCAAAGCCCGTGCAGCTCCCAAGCTGGAGAAGATTGTGTGGAACTTGAACAAGACGAAGACGTTGGTGACGATCTCCCCCGACGACATTGCTGGGATCAATAACACGGCCATACTTCGCTTCAAGGCCGCCGATGCAGCAGCTCCTACGAAGGAGAAGGTTGACTGGAACTGCAACAGCACGAGGAAGATCACTCCGGACATCATCCGGGGTTCAATCGAATTCAATCAAGTCCAAGAGGGAGCTCAAGAATTCCTCAAGTAAGTCCGAGGGAGCTCAAGATCTCATGAAGTGCGTGTTCCCCTTACCACGCGATCGATCTATATACGTTGCTTCATCACAGTAGAAGGAGATCAGAATGTGGAAAGAATAATTAAATGAAGACCTACTTACATATTTCTATCTGGCCGGTTCTGGTAAGAATTAATAATCGCAAGTTCACTGCCGCGTGTATATATATTCATTATATTGCAAGGTTGTAACCTGTGTGTGCTGTGATTTAGTTGATCTGTCCAACATAACAATGCATGTCTCGTACTAGCTCTGTTTGCCGCACGGGTGCCCTGTGTCAACCAACCCACCGCTTGTCGATGCCGCTGGGTGCCACCGTAGGCCCCAACCCACCGCGCGCACCGGCGAGGCAGCTGGCTGCCTCTGACCGCCATGTGTGTCGCCCTTGTTGCCACTGTCAGCCGACCAGATCTAGCAAAGAGATGCCAAACCCTGCCACATCTTCTCCTCCGGTGGTGTGGAGGTCACTGTTGACGTGCCAAGCCATCGCCCCGGTCGTCGCCGCTCCCAGATCTAGCACGCCTAGGCGCGCGAATTCGGACGCCTAGCCTTCCCAGAGCCACGCCGTCGACCGTCGCATCACTCCCCTCACTGGTGGAGAAATGATCTTTGCTGGGTCGACCCAAAACCACAATAGTCCTAGTTTCAAAAAGAACCGGGACTAAAAATAATCTTTAGTCTCGGTTAAAAACCCTACCGCCATTTTATGATCTTTAGTCCCGGTTGGGGTTACCAATCAGGACTAAAGATGATCTTTAGTCCCGGTTAATCCCCTGTCAGATGAATATCAGGAGGCCGAGGATCTTTAGTCTCGGTTGGTGACATCACTTTAGTCCTGGTTGGTATTACCAACTGGGACTAAAATTGAAACCAACCAGAACTAAAATTGTACGTGTAGTATATAATCCCTATCACTTATCCTCTCCTCCACAATCGCAACTCACAGATCGAACCTCTCCCCCTTCTCCTCCTCCATTCCTACAGATCAGATCTACCCTCTCTTCCTCATCCCCTCTCCTCCACCTCCTCCCCTTCCTCCTCCTCCCCCTCCTCCCCTTCCCATCCGTTGGGCCGGCGGCGGGCGGAGCGGGGCCGCAGGCGGCGGCCGTGGCGAGTGGCGGCAGCGGCTTTGTTTGTTTTTTCTTAATTTGTGATTCACTGATATGTATAAATTTGTGATTTATTGTATTGATCTGTGATGTATTTGATTTGTTTTAGAATCTGTGATGTATTTGATTTATGTGTATAAATAACTTTAAGATTTGTGATGTGGATTTGGTGATGTGAATTTGGGATGTTACTTTGATTTAGGGATTTGGGGTTTGATTTGGGGATTTGCATGCCACTTGATTCGGGGTTTGATTTGGGGATTTGCATGCCACTTGATTCGGGAGAAAATAAAAAGAGAAAAAAAAATCAAAGGGGACCATCCGGTTTGTCTCGATTGGTGTTACCAACTGGGACTAAAGATGATCGTTAGTCCTGGTTATTTCAACCGGGACTAAATATGTCCATCTTTAGTCCCGGATTGCTACTCCCGGTTGAAAAACCGGGACTAAAGGGGGTTACCAACCGGGAGTAAAAATTGGTTCTCCACCAGTGCCTCATCGTCGTCGCCTCTCGCCCATCGCCACTACGGCCGGCATCGCCCTGGATCTAGGTCGTGGGCTTCAACGGTGACCTACTGAAAAAGACGAAGATCGAGAAGATACGTAAAATAAGATAAGGTGTATGATTAATTAAGTATTAATTATTTTACGGTCTACTTATAATACGATCTATTTAATTAATAGTTAGTTTTTTCTAATTACCATAGGAGCTACTAAAAATACCTAATTAGCATTGAGATATATATAGATACATATGTATATATGATAAGCCTTTCAGGAATTGGCTTTGCTGGTGATCAGAATCTTTGGGCATGCTGCTGCGGTAATCGCACCGGAAATCGTATATAGTGAGTGACTACGTTGATCGTGGCCGTAGATGAGATCAAGGTTGCTTGCTCAGCTGGTGAGATTATTCGATCCACTGTTCCTTTGGAAAAAGAAAAGGAAAATATTCGACTCGATGACCTCCCTGCCTACGCTTTGGTACATCGTTTTCCTTTGCTAGCTAACATTGGTCCCGGTTCGTATTGCTAGCTTGTTCATCTACGTAGGAACTTTAGTTAGCATTTTGTTCAGCATATAGCTAGCTTGCACGCTACCCATATACTAGCTGCTAGCTAGCCTTGCTGATCAATGGACTCTACCTCGGGAGATCATAGAGAACTTTTACGGTACAATATACTACCAGTATATACTTGTAGTATAAACAATCTAACAGTGTAGATTGATTTATCTCCCTACGTAATGATACTGCAGTATAAACTTAAAAAGGGCAAACTTGTCTTTTTTTAATCAGTCGGGTCACAGTAAAGAAATCAAAACAACACACCGTGTGAAAAAACAACCGCTGCTATTGAGTCGTATATATTTTATAATCTCTGCAACTGAATCTACACTGAATCAGCTCGCCGCCGTGTCTAGCTATGGGCCGTGAGGCTCGGCAGAAGGACGAGCGCACGGTGAGCCGGACCGCCGTGAACATCAACCTCCTGAGCCCAGTCGCCTGGGTCCAACGGTCCAACCTCTCCTCGCTACTCGTTAGATCACGCCGCCGCATGAGCGTTGTTGTCAAATCAATGCTCTTCCCCACCGCACGACGAGATCCAGAAATAAATTGAAACGCCTTTTCTAATTTTCTATTAAATTCCAAATATATCTTTTTATATATTGCCAGTATATACTGGTAGTACATTGTACCGTAAAAGTTCTCTATAAATATTGCATCGATCAACTCTAGTTGTCATCCAAAATTTCGCTGAATTCAGCTCATTTCCAAATACACATACAATATATTATTCACAGGTAGCACTGCAGTGATTAAGTAGCTATTGAGAGTGAGTGAGAAAGAGATCAAAGACGATGCTGGAATCTGGATGACCCTCACATCATCAAGATGCTGCTTCGTTCTCTGTACGCCCATCCCTATGGGACCAAAGAACTGGAGAACTTGTCCAATAATCTTAGAGAATGAGTGTCGAAACTAGATTTCGGCAATAATGAAAGGGGGTGGCTATCAAGCTAGAAAAGTGTATGGGTTTGGAGACAAAGGATTTATACAGGTTCAGGCCTTCTTATAAAAGAAGTAATACCCTACTCCTGTCCGGGGATGAATCCGCCGAGTGTATTATTGATTGTGTGATTCGGGAAAAATCAGCATATGCCCCTAGAGGCGCCCGGACCCCCCTTATATATGGGAAGGAGTCCGGGTTACAAAAGATAATCCATATTCCTAACGGAATATGAAGATAAAGGTAAAATACAGTCGTAACCGACTAAGTCTCAGGGTGTTTCCTTGATACACAAGTTAAGAAACAAACCCAAGATACAGACAAGATATTCTATCTACATTAGGTATCCTGTACCCAGTTCGAATACCATCGCCGTGTAGATATGGGATACCCATAATCTCCACAGTAGCCCCCGAGTCCTTTGCAGTCGACCATCGTAGCCCTCTCAAAGATGATAATCCGAGTACTTCAAACTCTTCAAGCCAAAACCTGCCGAGTGGACTGTAAAGGGCGAAAAGATAAAGAATATGGTGCATCGAATAGATGCACCTAATTAGGTGTAGCCCCCAACTATGTGATTAGTTAACAAACTAAACATATAGTTGAAAGACAATATAATAACACAATTGTGCATTACATGACAAAAGCGTACGCGGCGCCTAAATAGGCATGCTAGCCGACTGCTTTTTAGCCACAATAAAAGAAATCCGAGTGGTTTACACTCTAAAAGGTTCACGAATGAACATACTTGACAGGTATCCGAATAAAAACTCTAAAGATTACCCATCAAGTATTATGAAGATTATGGTAATAAATAAGTCGAATAGCCTAGGCCTTGACTATTTACCATAATGAAAATAGGTATATAACATACCAAGGAAGTGACTATAATAAAAACAAGTCATTCCTAGTTAACCCAAACAGCTTTTGTTAGCCTAAAAAAGCTTGCAAAAACAGCATAACGCCTTTCTGTCGGGCACCTTTTTAATTCGCATTGCAATAATTCCAAAGAATTATATGACCGCATAAAAAGGATTTGATCAGCATTGGGCAACACTGTTGTGCGCATAATATTGCCAAAGCAAAATATGCCTAAGTCCCTAAGGAACACAATGGGCCACACTGTTAAAAGTATTGGGCTGAAATACTGTTCAGGCCTAGGCCCATTAGCACCTCCGATACCCTTAACTGAAAAATCCGATATCCAAGCGACGCTTCGTCTTCCCCGCCGGAACTCTCGCCATTTTCCCCACTCCTTGCTACAGTGAAAAGCTGCGCCGGCGAACTAGGGTTCACAACTCCGGCCAAATCCACCTCCGAAAAGTGCATCAAAATCCTTCCCGTGATCCACCGCCTCAATTCCTCACCTCTCCCAAGCCATCCCTCGAATCAAATCAGCACATTTGAGAAAAATCGATGGCGGAAGAGAGAGAAAGCTTCGAAAGCCAATGGGCGCCGTCCGACGTGACGGAGGAGAACCTGAAGGAGATGGTGGCGCACGGCGTTCTCCCAGCCAAGGAGATCATCGGGTGGCGGCCAGCATGCGGTGAGGCTTTCCCGACCCCTGATACACATGAGATCGTAGTCTTCTCGCATTTCTTCTACGGCGGCTTTGCTCTTCCGACCTCAAAATTTTTCCGTGGGATCTTGAATTTCTATGGAATCAGCTTGCATCACCTAAACCCGAATTCCATAGTGCATATCGCCAATTTCGTCCATGTATGTGAAGCCTTTTTGGGGATCAAACCTCACTTTGCCCTATTCCGCCGGATCTTCTTCCTCAAGCCCCAACCAAACAAGAACAAACCGTGTGTAGTCGGGGGGGCAGGATTCCAACTAAGGGGTACTCTGAGCCAAAAATATTTCTCGATGCCCTTCAAAACTTCGAACAAAGGATGGCATGCAAACTGGTTCTATGCCCAGAATCCCGAGCCTGCTCTTCCCGGGTACACTTGTCTCCCTCCAGTGTACCAAGATACTTGGAACTCTCTTCCAATCGGAGATGAAGCAGCACAAGCCTTGGAGTTGTTGGATCGTATGTTAAATCTTAAACAACAAGGCTTACAGGGAGAGCAAATCACTCGGCACTTCAT